GGCCCGGTGGCGCACTGCTATAGTGCGCCACTTGGGAAGTGTGGTGGCGCTCCCGCCGAGGGTTCGGATCCCACATACAGACCGGCCGCTCACTGGCTGAGCGAGGGGCGGGAGCAACACCGAGGGTTGTGATCCCGTGGCCGGTCCCGGTCCGGTACGGGCGCGACACTGAGGGTTGCAATCCGTTGCTGGACACGAAAAAAGAGACAAAACCCCCCCCCCAAAAAGTGGTTCCCATGTTCCATCCCAGACTACTGAATCAGAATTGCTGGGGTAAGTCTCTAGTTTAATAAACCTTGCAGATGATACTGATAACTCAGGTTTGAGAACTACTGCCATCATACCACTTCCCACAGGGAAGGTGAGTGTACGTGTGGATGTGTGTGTGTGTTGGAAGAGGGTGGGCAGCTGCCTACCCCAGTGCCTAACCCCCAGGCCATAGGTCATTGCCTCCTGTGCCCCCCTTTTAGGAACATGGGTTGGAGCTGCCAGCCTGCTACTTTGGGGTGGCACAGAGTGTGTCCATGGTGAGACAGGGACATGAGGGGGTGTGTCTATGGCTGGTTCTCAGTCATACCAGTCAGAATCCTGACATCCTTCCATACTGGTTGGTAAATGGCTGCTGCCCTCCCCTGCCCCAGCCCCTCCTGTGGGAGTCTCCTGGACCCCCCTCCACTGTACAATAACTAAAGGAGCAATGCAGGTAGGACATGGGGCCCTGGGCCCTGCTCCTACGGCTGTGTCTGGAGCCACTCTGGTGCCAGTGCCTATGCAGTTCCTGTGTCAACCTGTGGGACTCAGCTTGGCTTCAGTGTCAGATGAGAACTCCCCATGGGAACAGCCATGTCATTATCTTCCCCGTTTCAACAAACATTTATCCACGCTTACTCTGTGCTGGGGCCTGGAGACACAGATGTGAGTCAGACTAGCTGTGCCTGGGCTCTGGGATAAGGCTGCACACACTGCTCACAGCCTGGGAGGAGAGGGAAGGAAGCATCCAGCACGCCTGGCTTCTAAGGAGGAAGGAGGATGGGAGGGTCACTTTCCCTCTGAGGCTGGGAGAGGGGACAGCTGCCCAGCTGCCCTAAGCTACTGCTGAGGAATGTCCACCTGGGAGCTGGGAGCCTCCTGGGGCTGGAGGGGAGGTGGCCAGCTCTGTTCTGGCCTCACCTCTGTCTCTCTTGGCAGATGCAGTCCACATACGTCCTGCAAGGTCTTCACCTCCAAATCCCGAACATTTTTCCAGACAATGCTGCCAACAACTCCATGGCTCTGGGAGCCCAGGGCAGCGGCTACAAGGTGAGAGACAGAGCACGTGTTCAGCACCCAGTTCAGGCCAGGCTGGGGTTTCCTCTGAGCAGAGGAGGAAATGAAGCTGCCTTCACTCTCCTCTCTCCCAGTGCAGGGTGACCTTAGGACACAGGAAAAGCACTTGGAAGGGGGCCGGGCTGGGGGGTGGTGAACTTGTGCCACAGCCCAGGCATCCTGCCAGCTGCTCGCAAGAATTCACGCCAGCTTCATCCCCCTACACTGCTGCTCTGAACAAGCCTCACTACCCGATTTACACCAGTTTATACCCTCAGATCGAGCACACTCATGTGCCTAGTCCACTCCACCTTGTTCCCTCTTTCTTTAGGACCCTTGGGTACCTAGATCTCTGCCTTTTACCAGAATTTTACAAACCAGTTTTTGGCATTTCAGAGACTCATAAATCAAAGATCTTCAGAGCTGGCAGCTAAATGACATGTTTGGCACTACAGTCCCTTTCCTTGCCCATGGCAGACATTACTAATCAATCACAACATTTCCTCATGCTGAGCCCATGAATGTTCCAAGCATCCACTACCAGTTGATAGAAGTTAGACTACAAGAGTAACCTATTTGCCATCTCTGATTGAATCCTACCCCCTAGTTAAGAGCTGAGGGGTGAGAGTTCCAGAGAGAGGAAGGGGCTGGCCCTGGGTCATTCAGGGACGGCATGGAGTCCAGGTCTCCTGGCTCCAGCCAGAGCTCCTTCCACTCTGCTAGCCTGCCTTTCTTGGCCCCTCCTGCCCAGATCCCAGAAGCCTGGCTCCTCCTGGCCAACGTGGTGGTGGTGCTGATCCTGGTCCCTCTGAAGGACCACTTGATCGACCCTTTACTGCTGCAGTGCAAGCTGCTTCCCTCGGCTCTGCAGAAGATGGCTCTGGGGATGTTCTTTGGTTTTACCTCTGTCATTGTGGCAGGTGTGTGGAGGCGTGTGGAGTAGGGGACCGGACTTTGTCTGTCTGGGAGAGGGGGGAGGCTGGCTCCACTATGGGCTGATGCTGAAGCCATGGCCTGGGCCAAGTACACCCCGTATTGTTGGGTGTCACCTTGATGCTTCCCAGAAGGGTGTGAGCTAAAAGAGGCCCTCCTAATCAAATCCACTCTCCCTTCATTTTGACAGGTGAGGAAACTCAGAGAGAACAGATAGTGTCTCAGTGGGATGTAAGCCCCTTGAAGGCAGGGATTCTTTTCTTTTTATTAATTCTCTTCCTTCCTCCATTGCAAAAGGATTTGGAGCCATTTGTTTAAAAAGAGGGGGTGGGGGTGGGGGGACAAAGGCAGGCTCAGCTAAAGAAGACATTCTTGCTGTTGTGTAAACCTGAGCACTTTTCACTTAGTAACTTTATGATCCTGACGTTACTTAGGGTCCCTGAGACGCATCTTTAAAAGGGGGTTAGTAATCATTCAATTCTTGCTGTTGTGTAAACCTGAGCACTTTTCACTTAGTAACTTTGTGATCCTGACGTTACTTAGGGTCCCTGAGACGCATCTTTAAAAGGGGGTTAGTAATCATTCAGACCCTGAGCAGGGCTGGGCTCTGCCCTTATGGAACATAGTCTCATGGGGGGTGTTGTGAAGGTTAAAGGAGATGAAGCCTGTAAAGCACCCAGTAAAGGGCCTGGATCACAAGTAGGAGCTGGAGAAATTCAAGCTCAATAAACAGTATTGTGTTGAAAGTATTAGGGTCCCTGAGACGCATCTTTAAAAGGGGGTTAGTAATCATTCAGACCCTGAGCAGGGCTGGGCTCTGCCCTTATGGAACATAGTCTCATGGGGGGTGTTGTGAAGGTTAAAGGAGATGAAGCCTGTAAAGCACCCAGTAAAGGGCCTGGATCACAAGTAGGAGCTGGAGAAATTCAAGCTCAATAAACAGTATTGTGTTGAAAGTATAAAAACCAAACCAGATTCTTTTTCAGCTCTGCACTTTGATGCATTTTGCCCTATTTCACCCTCATGGTGATCCTGGGAATTTTATTCCTGCTTCTTGCATAACAGAACTAGGTTTCAGAGAGGTTAAATGATTTGTCCAAGGTCACACAGCTAGCCAGAGGTAGGGCCAGGATTGGCACCCAAGTCCATGACCAGTGTTCATTCCACTAGAGTACCACTATCACCTAAGCAGCAAAGGAGAAGGAGACAGAAAAACTTGAAAACCAGGTTAGAAACACTCAGCAATTTTTGATGTTGAAGTAGAGAAATCATGATATCATGGGAAGTAGGCCAGCTTTGAAATCAAACATACTGGGGTTCAAATCTAGCCCTGACTACTTATTAGCTGTGTGGCTCTGGGCTGGTTGCTTAGCGTGAGTTTCATTTTCTGCATTTGCAGGAATGCATACATAGTGCTTAGCACATAACAAGCTCTCAATTAATGAGAGCTGTTACTGAGTGCAAAACCTAGCTCTGAGTTTTCTAGAAGGCAACGCAAAAAGGGAGACATTGGAACTCAAATCTTGACTCCCTCCCCCCAGGCCTGTATTCTGGTCCTTACTTGCTACCCAGTCAGTCATTGGCTACTTAATGAGTACCCACCACACACCAAGATCTGTTGTGGGCTAAGGTGCCTGAGGTAGGCCTGGCTTTAACCTCCCTCTGCTCTGCCACCAGGAGTCCTGGAGATGGAGCGCTTACGCTACGTCCATAACAAGACAATACCCCAGCAGATCGGGGAGGACAAGTACTATGCAGCCCCACTGTCCATCTGGTGGCAGATCCCTCAGTATCTGCTCATTGGGATCAGCGAGATTTTTGCCAGCATCCCAGGTGCCTGGATCACCTCCCCGGCTCTTGTGCCAGTGATGGGCTCTGCCTGGGGGTGCCTCCAAGTCAGGGGGCCGGCCTCCAGGGTTCATATGCAGGAAGGCAGTGTTTTCTGAGTGGGGGTGCATTCTTCCAATGGAGATTTACTAGCACCGGGTTTGTGCTAGCCGCTGCCATAGGCACTTGGGATTTGGAGGTGAATCAGGCACTTCCCACACCAACTTTGCACACATTCCCCCGGTGCCATGTTTCCATCCTCTGTGTCTTTGCAGTTGCTAGAGCTGTAAGGCTGGAGCAGGCTCTTCAGTCAGCAAAGGAGTAGGATCTTAACTCAGCTGTGGGCCCAGGGCTCGGCTGGGGTGGGACATAAGATAAAAGTGGCTCCACGAGCTCACTCAGTGGTGGGGGAGATAGCCATGCAACAGTAAACCCAGTGGAGTGCCGTGGAAGTGGCTGTGGAGTGAGGTGGGGGCCCTTGTCCAGGTGGGGAGGGGTCAGTGAGCTGGCCTTCAGGGGAGGCAGAATTCACCAGGGAGGAGGAAGGACCTTACAGCATAAGCAGAGACCCAAGCCTTGTGGGGGTGAGGGGAAGAGGGGGTTAGAGGGCTGGAAAGGCACGGTTGGGTGTGTGGAGGTCACACAGGGCCTTGTGGGCTGAGCCTGGATCTTGGGATTTCTCCTGAGGACAACGGCACCTCCCCCACCACGGGGTTAGGCAGGGAAAGGACCCCATCAGAGGTGTTTTAGACACACCCATTGGCTGGGTGAGGAGGATGGAGGCAGGGGAGTTTAGGAGGCATTTGTAGGGGCCGGGCAGGAAGTGACCAGGGTTTGGCTCAGGGCAGAGGGGACAGAAAGGAGGGCACACCTTTAGAAGAGATTTCGGAAGTTGGCTCAAAATGACTTGGTGGTGATGTCGAAGGTGGGCAGAGAGGGCAGGGGAAAGAGACGGTGAAGATGGTGCTGGCTCAGAAGTGCTGTCACTGAAATGGGAAACCCAGCAGGAATCAAAATGACTTGGTGGTGATGTCGAAGGTGGGCAGAGAGGGCAGGGGAGAGAGACGGTGAAGATGGTGCTGGCTCAGAAGTGCTGTCACTGAAATGGGAAACCCAGCAGGAAGGGGAAGCGGAGACAGAGCTCTTGGGGCAAAGTGTGGAGCGCCGGGTGGAGCTGTTNATTCTTGCTGTTGTGTAAACCTGAGCACTTTTCACTTAGTAACTTTGTGATCCTGACGTTACTTAGGGTCCCTGAGACGCATCTTTAAAAGGGGGTTAGTAATCATTCAGACCCTGAGCAGGGCTGGGCTCTGCCCTTATGGAACATAGTCTCATGGGGGGTGTTGTGAAGGTTAAAGGAGATGAAGCCTGTAAAGCACCCAGTAAAGGGCCTGGATCACAAGTAGGAGCTGGAGAAATTCAAGCTCAATAAACAGTATTGTGTTGAAAGTATAAAAACCAAACCAGATTCTTTTTCAGCTCTGCACTTTGATGCATTTTGCCCTATTTCACCCTCATGGTGATCCTGGGAATTTTATTCCTGCTTCTTGCATAACAGAACTGGGTTTCAGAGAGGTTAAATGATTTGTCCAAGGTCACACAGCTAGCCAGAGGTAGGGCCAGGATTGGCACCCAAGTCCATGACCAGTGTTCATTCCACTAGAGTACCACTATCACCTAAGCAGCAAAGGAGAAGGAGACAGAAAAACTTGAAAACCAGGTTAGAAACACTCAGCAATTTTTGATGTTGAAGTAGAGAAATCATGATATCATGGGAAGTAGGCCAGCTTTGAAATCAAACATACTGGGGTTCAAATCTAGCCCTGACTACTTATTAGCTGTGTGGCTCTGGGCTGGTTGCTTAGCGTGAGTTTCATTTTCTGCATTTGCAGGAATGCATACATAGTGCTTAGCACATAACAAGCTCTCAATTAATGAGAGCTGTTACTGAGTGCAAAACCTAGCTCTGAGTTTTCTAGAAGGCAACGCAAAAAGGGAGACATTGGAACTCAAATCTTGACTCCCTCCCCCCAGGCCTGTATTCTGGTCCTTACTTGCTACCCAGTCAGTCATTGGCTACTTAATGAGTACCCACCACACACCAAGATCTGTTGTGGGCTAAGGTGCCTGAGGTAGGCCTGGCTTTAACCTCCCTCTGCTCTGCCACCAGGAGTCCTGGAGATGGAGCGCTTACGCTACGTCCATAACAAGACAATACCCCAGCAGATCGGGGAGGACAAGTACTATGCAGCCCCACTGTCCATCTGGTGGCAGATCCCTCAGTATCTGCTCATTGGGATCAGCGAGATTTTTGCCAGCATCCCAGGTGCCTGGATCACCTCCCCGGCTCTTGTGCCAGTGATGGGCTCTGCCTGGGGGTGCCTCCAAGTCAGGGGGCCGGCCTCCAGGGTTCATATGCAGGAAGGCAGTGTTTTCTGAGTGGGGGTGCATTCTTCCAATGGAGATTTACTAGCACCGGGTTTGTGCTAGCCGCTGCCATAGGCACTTGGGATTTGGAGGTGAATCAGGCACTTCCCACACCAACTTTGCACACATTCCCCCGGTGCCATGTTTCCATCCTCTGTGTCTTTGCAGTTGCTAGAGCTGTAAGGCTGGAGCAGGCTCTTCAGTCAGCAAAGGAGTAGGATCTTAACTCAGCTGTGGGCCCAGGGCTCGGCTGGGGTGGGACATAAGATAAAAGTGGCTCCACGAGCTCACTCAGTGGTGGGGGAGATAGCCATGCAACAGTAAACCCAGTGGAGTGCCGTGGAAGTGGCTGTGGAGTGAGGTGGGGGCCCTTGTCCAGGTGGGGAGGGGTCAGTGAGCTGGCCTTCAGGGGAGGCAGAATTCACCAGGGAGGAGGAAGGACCTTACAGCATAAGCAGAGACCCAAGCCTTGTGGGGGTGAGGGGAAGAGGGGGTTAGAGGGCTGGAAAGGCACGGTGGGGTGTGTGGAGGTCACACAGGGCCTTGTGGGCTGAGCCTGGATCTTGGGATTTCTCCTGAGGACAACGGCACCTCCCCCACCACGGGGTTAGGCAGGGAAAGGACCCCATCAGAGGTGTTTTAGACACACCCATTGGCTGGGTGAGGAGGATGGAGGCAGGGGAGTTTAGGAGGCATTTGTAGGGGCCGGGCAGGAAGTGACCAGGGTTTGGCTCAGGGCAGAGGGGACAGAAAGGAGGGCACACCTTTAGAAGAGATTTCGGAAGTTGGCTCAAAATGACTTGGTGGTGATGTCGAAGGTGGGCAGAGAGGGCAGGGGAAAGAGACGGTGAAGATGGTGCTGGCTCAGAAGTGCTGTCACTGAAATGGGAAACCCAGCAGGAAGGGGAAGCGGAGACAGAGCTCTTGGGGCAAAGTGTGGAGCGCCGGGTGGAGCTGTTCAGACTGGAGAGGATGCGCAGGGCAGAGGGGAAGGCGCTTTAGGTGCTGTCAGAGCCACTGAGTGGACAGTCACCCTGGGCAAGTCTGGACAGAGGCTTGGTGGGGCAGGGTGGGGGTCTGCGCCTGTCCTCTGCTCTTCCACCAGCCCCTGCGGTCCTCCCCTCTCCCTCTCCGCAGGCCTGGAGTTTGCCTACTCAGAGGCCCCGCGCTCCATGCAGGGCGCCATCATGGGCATCTTCTTCTGCTTGTCCGGGGTGGGCTCGCTGCTGGGGTCCAGCCTAGTGGCTCTGCTATCCTTGCCTGGGGGCTGGCTGAACTGCCCTGAGGACTTCGGTGAGTGTGGGGGGCCTCCCCAGGAGTGGGACATGGGTGGAGGGAGGCTTGGAAGGAAGCAGTGAACTCAGTGGACCTCCTAGGCTCCGTCCTGCTTCTAGAACTCTGCCATTCTGGCTGAAGGGTCACCTTTCTTGTGGTATTTGTGTCTCAAGCCCCCGAATGACTATCTAGCTAAAGGGGAACTGTAGACACCCCCATCCCCCAGGAGACACTCGGGAGCCAGAGGCTAGAGGGATACCCACTCAGTGTCTTCAGTGCCCACCACTGCCCAAGTTGCCTCAGCTGCCAGTCCTAGGGCTGGGGTGCAAGACAGGGGAGCCCTGCCCTGATCCAAACGCCACCCCTCCTTTCCCCAGGGAACATTAACAACTGCCGGATGGACCTGTACTTCTTCCTGCTGGCCGGCATTCAGGCCGTCACAGCCCTCCTGTTTATCTGGATTGCTGGCCGCTATGAGAGGGCAGCTCAGGGCCCAGCCTCCCAAAGCTGTTCCAGCAGGGATAGGGGCTGAACGCACCGCCACCCCCACCCCCACGCCTCTCTCCGCTGGACACGGACAGCAGCAGTCCCAGCCATGGTTTCCTTCTCAGTTTATTCTGTACCCAACAAGAGAATGAAATGGTTCCCATAAATAAGGGGCATAAGCTGTTCCTCACGACCATGGTCCCAAGGGGCAGGGCAAAGGGGGCCTGGGTGGGAGTCCTTGAGGGGGACCAGGCAAGGGACTTGGAAACAAGCACCAGAGGAGGAGCAGTAGGGACAGGCCAGAGGCTCGCTGGGACCTCCACCTGCTGCCCAGGCTGGTGGCCCACGACACTGGGCCAGGCAGGCTGGGGAGGGGTCAGGAGCTACCCCGGATCCTCTCCATGTAATTACGAAGCTCCTCGGGGTCCTTCAGCCCCATGTCCTCACACACCCAGCGGATGTCCTCCTCACCCGCCACCAGGATGGACTGCACAGCAGGGGCCCCTGCAGGCTCCTCAGGCAGCTGGGCTGGAGGGGCTGGTGCAAATGTCACAAACTCCACGCGCTTCCGCCGCCCCCCAGCTTCCTTTCGGGCCAGGGTGCTCGAGGAGCTGGTGGTGCCCCCAGGAGAGACAGGGACAAGGGTCGGGGCCTCCCCTCCTCCCCCACTCTCACAGGGGCAGCCTCCCTCCCCCTTGGGCGGGCCAGGGGGCCGCCGGTCCAGCTGGCGGCTCAGTTCCTCCTGGTCAGTGCCCAGCCAGACCCAGTTGTGGGGCTGGGGGGAGGTGGGGTTGGTGGCGCTGTCGGGAGGCTCTTTGCGCTGGTAGCGCAGCACGAAGATCACACCATTGACCAGGAAGATGAGGATGGCCAGACAGAAGATGCCCAGCAGGGCGTACATGCCCAGCTCTAGGTCGGTGACACGCTGAGGGGCGGGGACCATCTCCTCCTCTTCTTCCTCCTCCCTGGCTTCCACCTCCTCCTTCCTGGCCTCCTCTGTCCGCTCAAACTTGCCCCTCACACCCATGCCATCCCCCACACTGCCCACTGCCTGCCGTTCACCACCCATACTGGCCTCTGTGGCTGGTGGGCTCTGGGCAGGGCTAGATGGGAGAGCACGGGCAAGGGTGGGAGCAGGGGGCAGCCCAAGCCAGGCAGTGCCAGAGGCCAGGGGCACACGGTGGCGGCCCCGGCGGCAGGGCTCAGGCGGATGCAGAGTCACATGCAGGGGCAGCCCCTCGGCACCCACCCCACTCACCACCACCCTGAACTGGGCACCCTGCTCCTCAGCTGGCAGGACGGCACTAGGCTCCTCGGCTGAAATGGACAGTCCCAGGTCATGGTGGTCGTAGAGCTCGGCAGGGGCCAGGGTGTGGTCAGAAAAGGACAGCCATAGGGAGAGGGCCACCTCCTGTGGGGCACATGGACACAGGCAGAGACACGCGAGGGCACGCACGCATGCACACAGAGACCACTCCCACAGAGACAGGCCACATGGAGGAGAAACCAGAGAGAAAACAGAGACACAGGCAGATGGACACAACACAGGGAGAGAGGGGATGTGTGTCAATCACCTGTCTGCCACTCAGTCCCAGGGTCTGAGTCATTGGGAGGGTCCTCAGAGCCATCTAATCAACCTCCCACTGCTACGCTGCAGCCAGCCACTGCTTGATCACTTCCAGCCGCAGAGAGCTCACTACCTCACAGGGAAGTCAGTCCTCATTCTGAAAACCCTAAGGGAAGGGGTCGAGGTGCCAGGGCCCCCTTTCTCCCATCCCCCACTGCCATCAGCCCCCATCTGGAGGTGTTGACCTCACCCCCCTGACCCCCAGCTGTCACCTGCTTTGGGGCAGGAGGGGCTGACTGTGCCCAGCATGTGGCTGTGACCTCCCCAGGGTGGGCAGTGCCCCGGCTCAGGGCCAGTGAGATGCCCATCACTGGCTGCACCTGGAGCTCCAGCACCGAGACCTTGTCGTCCGTCACAGCCAGCGCCTGCTCCCCCAGAATGGAGTCAGACAGCGGGGAGCGCACCTGAGGGCAGGAAGGAGCTGGAGGTGGGGGCCTCCAACAGACAGCCCCCACCTGAAGGAATCTGGCTTCTGCTCACAGCATCCTCACAAGCTACTCTCCTCTCGCCCTTTGCATCCCAGCTACATGCCCTGGACATACCCGGACCCCAATCCCACACCTAGAGAACAGTTCCCTCCTCTCTCCAGCCCTGGCCCACACATACCCATACCCCAGTGCTTTATACACAGACGACTTCCCCGTGACACGGCCACCTCATCCTCACCCAATCCCCAGTCCCACTGTGTTCATACCAAGACTGCACCCTACCCAGGTATACCCGGGGCCCTCCTACACCCTTCCCGGGGGTTCTGCTCTCCAGTATTCTGGCTGGCTCACCTCGATGGAGGTGACACCAGGCTCCCGGCCCACCAGGATGCGGCCACCCTCCAGCGAGGCTACGCGGGGGTCCTGCACTCGGGCGTGCGGCGCCACGAGATGGGACACATCCAGCAGCCAGTTGGGGCCGAGCAGGTGGGTGAGGCGGCGGCCACCATCCAGCGGGTGGGCTGCAAAGGAGACGAGGAAGCGCACGGCGGCACGCTGGTACTGTAGGCGGCAGCCGCGGGCGCGCCGCTCGGCCTCTTCCACCACTGCCACCGCCTCCGGCTCCACCGCCCTGCGGGGAGGGGCAGCCAGGGATGGGCTTCAGCGCGGGCCCTGCCCCTGGCCTGCCAAGGCCTACACACTGGAGACCCCCGGCCCCTAATGGGAGCATGCCCCTGCCCATCAAGAGGTTCCCAGCCCAGTTCTCAACTGCTGCGTGTGCCCTTCTACCTGCCTCTTACTCCCAAATGGAACACTGTGGACACCTTCTCCTATGGGGGGACCTAAAGGGCGCTCACTCTCTGGAGCCACGTCACACTTGGTCCCCCCTCAGAGTGTATTCCACATTTACTGAGCTCTGTGCCATCTTAGGCTTTGAGGATACAGCAGAGAACAGAATAGACAAAGCCCCTCCCTGCCTTCCAGGGGCTTGCATTCCCTGGGGAGGAGTGCAGAAGGGGTGGACAGACAGCAAGCAAAATTAATCAGTACATTACACAGAAGATTAGGAAGTCAGGGTACCAGAGAGCAGTGAGCAAGGGAGGAGCAGAGGGAGCGTGGAGGTTGGCCGTCTCAAGGCAGTCAGAGGTTGCATGGGCAGGGATAGGGGATGGACAGACGGAACTGCAGGCAACTGGCAGTTTTTCAGCCCCCAGCTCGGGCCCACGGCTGTGTCCCCTGTGCTCTCTCAGTCTCAGGGTGACTTCACCAAGGCCTGCCAGCTTCCCCAGGCCTCCACTCACCCTTCAGCTGGGCCGGGGACCCGCCAGCCGCGGACCTGCTCAAGGGTGGTGTCGGTCAGCTCAATGCGTAGAGGCAGCATCGGGGCCCACACGGTCAGCCGCAGCGAGGCCCGCAGTCGGCGCCACCAGAAGTCCACCCGCACTCCCTGAGCGCCCCGGCTCTCCTTGCCAGCCACGAACACAGCATCACAGGCCTCAGACACCTGTGGGAAGGCAGAGTGCAGGGGGTGGGCTAAGCCAGGAAGGACCAATGTGGGCCAGAGAGGTAGTCCTGACCCCAGGCCATAGGAGGACGACAGCTGAAATTCAGTTCTGTATTCACTGTAATGCATGGTATGGCGGGCTTGTTGGTTAGGCCACCATCCTCAGATCAAGAAGATTTCATCATGCATCCAAGATCCAGTCCCCTGGAGAAACTGGGCCACTCCTTCAGTTTACCTGGGATTCAGCTGGGGAAAGTGGCTATTCACATACGTTACAATCTTCCTCCTGGCAGAGCAGGGGTTTGAACCCACCATGTTGGTTCCTTATTAAAGCTGGCCTCTGACATTGGTGCTGGAGCCACCTGGCAACCAGCTGCAGCTAGGCAGGGGACAAGGCAGACCTACCTGCCCAAGAGTGCTCAGGTTGGAACCACATACACATGGCCAAGGGCTGCCCCAAGTCAGGAAAGACGCCTTCTCCATGCAAGTGGCTGGATTTGTGTAAATGTAGGCTCTGTGCTTCCCCTCTGAGAACTTCAAAATGGAGAGAACACTGCTCTGCACCTCCCTGCTTCTTTTTTGTTTCCCTCACAGGTCATTACAAGGCTCCAATAATAATAATTACTATTTTTGTCATTATATTACTATTACAACAGCAGTAACTGCCATTGTTTCAGCTTCTCCTATCTGCCAGATACTGTCTTAGGTGCTTTTAATTCTTATAACAACTTAAAGATATATTCCCATTTTAAAGTTTAGGAAACGGAGGTTCAGAGAGGTTAAGAGACTTGCCCATGATCACACAGCTAGTTGATAACAAAGACGGTTTCAAACTAAAATCTTCTGATCCCAAAGTACATGCTCTTGGCTGTACCAGCTGAGCTCTTTGTCCACACAATCATGATCGTGAAGGTACCTAAGATGGGGGCTGTTGGAATTACAAAGCTCCCACCTGACTCCGGAGAGAGGTGATTGGAACAAGAGAAGTTGAAGCTGTGGTTCACCCCATGAGGTTTCTGGTCTCAAGAAGCTGTTCTCCAGGGGCCCAAATGGTGAGGGAGGAAACTGTGTGTGCACGACTGTGCGCATGCAAATGATACTCACATGAGGTGCGCACCTGTCACTCACCTGCAGAACCTGTGTGTTGGCTGACTCACAGCCAATGTGCTCTGTCACCTCCACCAGTGCTCCCCCGCCATCCACAGTGACAAGGCGCACAGGCACACGCCGGGGCACTCCAGTCAGTGGTGCCGTGTTCACCAGCTCCTCAGCCTGGGGGTGCAGGAGAAGCTGAGCCCCAAGCGCCTCAGCTCACAGGGCTCCTGGGACTTGGCCCGCAGCCTGGCCGGGCAAAGACAGAAGCCCCCTTACCTTGGCTAGTGGGACAAGGGCTCTTATGTCCCGCTCTGACACCAGGATTTCCCACACCATTTTGTCCTTCTCCGCTTCGGGGGCCTGGCCTGGGTACTCCAGCTGCCATGTGACAGGGCGAGTGACTGCCACGCTCCCACCAGTGCCATTCTCCACCATGAAGTCCACCCACAGGAATTCGGACAGTTCAAGGGGGCTGATGGTCAGAAGAAAGAGGAACTGAGTACTTGTGAGTGCCAGGCACTGTGCTAGGCACTTCCTGCACTCGTGATTATCCCCATTTTACTCATGAAAAACTGAGGTTCAGACGTTATGCAACTCATCTGAGATCACATAGCAAAAAGTGGCAGGGCTGGGATCTAAACCCAAGCATCCTGTCCCCTGAGTCCAAACTCTTATCCACGCTCTTGTCTCTTAACAAGACCCACACAGCCACTGAACTGCCTCCCTAAATGCTTGCTGGCTCCCTTGCCTTCCTGGGCCCCTCCACTTGGACCTCTGCTTTCCACAGCCATTGGGGTGGCATAAAGCACCTGATGTCAATTCCCACCAAGAAGGCAGATTCACTCCCAAGTTGCAGAGCCGGACACTTGACCCTCTGAATAACCCTCAGAGCTTCCTTTGATCAGGCACCTATGTGCCAGGAACTATTCTGGGTGCCTGATTTGCAAGATCTTATTTTATTTTCACAAACTCTAAAGGATGCATTACTATCTCTATTTTACAAGTAAGGAAACTGAGGCTGGGGTGGGGAGATATTAACTGACTTGCCCAAGGGTATCCATCTGAAAAGTGTCAGACCCAGGATTCAGATAGGGGCTGCAAAGTCCGTGGCCATGACTTGGGTGCACGGCATGAATAAGAAGAGTTCATAAATGTTAGGAACTGCAGCTGGGCTTTTGCTTTTGGAATATTAATACTCTAGAGAAAGGCCCATCCCCTTACTGGCCAGCCACACACAAAAAGGGAGGGCCAATTTGATGGGGGCAGGAGGTGAGGGGCAGATAGTGGCTGTGAGGGCTGGAACTGGGTGGTGAGGATAGGTTGGCATCACCTGGAGTAAGACTCACAGACAGTTGCTGTATCTGGCATGTGGCTGGATCTGGATAAATAATGGCTGAATGAATGATATACCTGCTTTGCACTGCTTCCTTGAAAGAGTTTGTTCTTGTGCCTGCTCACATGGGGATATGGAGGCAGCATGGCAGCCCNACCTCCACCAGTGCTCCCCCGCCATCCACAGTGACAAGGCGCACAGGCACACGCCGGGGCACTCCAGTCAGTGGTGCCGTGTTCACCAGCTCCTCAGCCTGGGGGTGCAGGAGAAGCTGAGCCCCAAGCGCCTCAGCTCACAGGGCTCCTGGGACTTGGCCCGCAGCCTGGCCGGGCAAAGACAGAAGCCCCCTTACCTTGGCTAGTGGGACAAGGGCTCTTATGTCCCGCTCTGACACCAGGATTTCCCACACCATTTTGTCCTTCTCCGCTTCGGGGGCCTGGCCTGGGTACTCCAGCTGCCATGTGACAGGGCGAGTGACTGCCACGCTCCCACCAGTGCCATTCTCCACCATGAAGTCCACCCACAGGAATTCGGACAGTTCAAGGGGGCTGATGGTCAGAAGGAAGAGGAACTGAGTACTTGTGAGTGCCAGGCACTGTGCTAGGCACTTCCTGCACTCGTGATTATCCCCATTTTACTCATGAAAAACTGAGGTTCAGACGTTATGCAACTCATCTGAGATCACATAGCAAAAAGTGGCAGGGCTGGGATCTAAACCCAAGCATCCTGTCCCCTGAGTCCAAACTCTTATCCACGCTCTTGTCTCTTAACAAGACCCACACAGCCACTGAACTGCCTCCCTAAATGCTTGCTGGCTCCCTTGCCTTCCTGGGCCCCTCCACTTGGACCTCTGCTTTCCACAGCCATTGGGGTGGCATAAAGCACCTGATGTCAATTCCCACCAAGAAGGCAGATTCACTCCCAAGTTGCAGAGCCGGACACTTGACCCTCTGAATAACCCTCAGAGCTTCCTTTGATCAGGCACCTATGTGCCAGGAACTATTCTGGGTGCCTGATTTGCAAGATCTTATTTTATTTTCACAAACTCTAAAGGATGCATTACTATCTCTATTTTACAAGTAAGGAAACTGAGGCTGGGGTGGGGAGATATTAACTGACTTGCCCAAGGGTATCCATCTGAAAAGTGTCAGACCCAGGATTCAGATAGGGGCTGCAAAGTCCGTGGCCACCTATGTGCCAGGAACTATTCTGGGTGCCTGATTTGCAAGATCTTATTTTATTTTCACAAACCCTAAAGGATGCATTACTATCCCTATTTTACAAGTAAGGAAACTGAGGCTGGGGTGGGGAGATGTTAACTGACTTGCCCAAGGGTATCCATCTGAAAAGTGTCAGACCCAGGATTCAGATAGGGGCTGCAAAGTCCGTGGCCGTGACTTGGGTGCACGGCATGAATAAGAAGAGTTCATAAATGTTAGGAACTGCAGCTGGGCTTTTGCTTTTGGAATATTAATACTCTAGAGAAAGGCCCATCCCCTTACCGGCCAGCCACACACAAAAAGGGAGGGCCAATTTGATGGGGGCAGGAGGTGAGGGGCAGATAGTGGCTGTGAGGGCTGGAACTGGGTGGTGAGGATAGGTTGGCATCACCTGGAGTAAGACTCACAGACAGTTGCTGTATCTGGCATGTGGCTGGATCTGGATAAATAATGGCTGAATGAATGATATACCTGCTTTGCACTGCTTCCTTGAAAGAGTTTGTTCTTGTGCCTGCTCACATGGGGATATGGAGGCAGCATGGCAGCCCTCTTCCCTTGGGTCCCCAAATCTGCCCACTAGGACTCTAGGACCAGCCGTCCTTCCTCTGCCTCCTTTACAGGAGGAAGGAGACCGCCCACCTGGAGTCTGGCCCTGTGGGCCCAACACGCTGGCAGGTGATGAGGGTGGTGTGGTGTTTGGAGCCCTTGAAGCGGTCCAGCTTGGCAGTCCAGAGGGTGGGGTGGGCTGGGCGGGCCACTGTCACATGCAGCCCCTTCTTCACCTTGATCCTGGGGGAAAGGTTACATGTCCAGTTTATTAAGGTGGGTGCTGAACTGTGGAATGAATCCAAGGGGGAAGATAAGGGGCCAAGGACATCAGCCTCCTGCCTGGCCTCCTCAGCTCCAGTCGGAATCCTCTCCTGGCTATCCTCCAACCCAGAAGGACCCCACTTCAACAAAGGTCATACCATCCAGCTCTCCCCCACCCAAAGACCACTTATGACTCCCCACTGCTCAGAAGGTCAAGTCTGAGCCTGGCACTCAAGGCACTCCAGGGTCTGGTCCAACCTGCCTTGGGCTTTGACATCTTTCCCTGCACTCTCTGCTTCTCCAGACCAAAACTTCTTCCTCACATAGACAATGCACATTCACGACACTAAGCCTTTGCTCAGGCTGTGCCTTCCAACCTGCCTGCCCTTCCTTTATCTGCTGTTTTGTTAAGCCTCCAACAACTCAAATACCATTTCCTTTAGAAAGCTCTTCCAGTGGCAGGATGAATTTCCCCTTACCCCACCCCCTGACCCAAGCCCCGGTGGCACTTCACACCCTCACCAGAGCACACCCACCCACCTGCTTTCTAATCCAGTTCATGCCCATCCAGCTCCCTTTCCTAGCACCAAGGGCCCCTTTGTGCCAGATGGGGACTGGGCCTTGCTTTCCTTTGTATCTCTAGGGTGGAGACACAGGGCCTGGCATATTGTAAGTGTCCAGCAAAGATCTGTTTAGTGAGTATGTGAATGAGCACAGGAGGACATGAGACAGGGAGGCACACAGGGATGGGGCACACAAAAACCCACACATGGGAGAGGCCAGCCACACCCTGCAAATCCTTCGGTAGGATTGGGTGAGTGGGTGGGGCTGCTTTGGGGGAACTTCCTGCAGAAAAGGACATAAAGAATGAGGGTGGGCTGGCAGGTTAGCTCAGTTAGTTAGAATGTGGTGTTACAACACCAGTCAATGGTTCAGATCCCCGTACTAGTCAGCAGCCAAAAAAAGAGACTTGCTGAGAGGGTAGCAGGCAGGGAGAACATGCAGATGAGTGTGACTGGGTAAATATCCCTCTCTGGGGCACTAGAGCAATAGCCCACCCCTAGACACCACATTTTCCAGTTTCCAAGTCCTTTCCTGTTTCCCTTGCCTGGAGCCTTGCAGTTGCCCTGTAAAGTGGAAAATGTCACCCCACTAGACAAAGGAGTCTCAGTGAGGTGCTAGGGAGAGGGGAGGCTTCCTACTCTGACTCCAAATTCAGGGCTGTGTCCATTGTGGAGTCCTGCCAGGGCAATCACAGCTCTTTGCCTGGAGGGGGTTGGTTGACCCATGTTTTGCAGAGGTCAAGGATTCCAGCAAGGACCCAAAGAGGAATAGGTACCTGCCTAATCTTTCTGCAGAGGTTCCCATCCCCCACCTATCCCCAGGGGCCCAGTACTCACCGCAGGGTCAGGAGATTGGCTGTGAAGTTGTGCCGAAGCAGAAGAGTGGCACTGAAGATCTGGCCGGGCCTCACTGGCACATCAGGCACCCGCAGAGTCACCACCTCATCCAGAGGTACCTCCTGGTACTGCGGGGGGTCTGCTGAGCGCAGCTCCACACCACCAACTGGGAGGGCTTGTTCCCCAGGGCCTTCCTCCCCACTGGAGCCACAGCCCTCAGGACCCTCGGCTGAGGGCTCCAGAGTGTAGGCTAGCTCGGCCCGTGTGGTAGAGCCCTGGGAGAACCAGTGTGGGGGGAACTCCAGCTCCACCACACAGGCACCCAGGGGTGGCTGCGAAGACACAATGGCCATGGTTGGCACAGGTTGGGGGTGGGGGGTACTCCCAGCAACCATGGCAGGAAACCCAAAGATGGAGGGGTCCATAAAAGGCAAGATCAGCGTGGGCCGGAGAGGCATGCATCTTAGGTGACACAGTGAACTAGCGACATGGCTGGGCTTGAAACCAGATTTGTCTCAGAACACATCTGCAGGCCACTCCTTTGCCTTTGGGAATATTCTCATTATAAAGCGAGCCAATCCCAGTGCCTCACCCTAACAACATCTCAGGACCGCCTTGACTAGAACTCAGGCTTCTTCTCAGAACTCTAAAGCCTGAGAAATACTTCTCTCCAATGGATTCCTATATAGACTCCAAAAGAGCGGAAATTGCAATTACAAAAGTAACTGTTTTTACAATTATAGAAGTAACAATAATGCAAACACTTGCTGAGTGACTGCTATAAGTTATTCTTGTGTTCATCTCATTTATTCCTTACTCCAACTCTGTATGAGGAAGGAATTGTTATGAGCTCATTTTACAGATGAGGAAACTGAGTCTCAGAGAGACTAAGTTATTGCCCCAAATTACACACAATAGATTGAACTCCTTAAGGGGCCTTAAATAACCCTTTAACAGGACTGAAAGCTAGTGAAGCAGGAATGGGATCAGGTGGTTTGTGGCTCCCAAACTTCCCAGGAGAGGTGAGCCCTTTCCAGTCCACCCTGGGACTACCCCCTGGCTGGCACAGCGGGACCAGCCCACTCACCTGGAAGCGGCAGGCTCGCTGAGCAGTGCCTGCAGGGTGTGTGGCATGCAGCCAGGCGCAGGGCAGGCTGCCAGGCCCTGGCGGCCAATCCTGCCCTTTGAGGTGGAAAAGGACGCGGGCGTGGGGCTCCGCTGGAGTCACAGCTGCTTCCACTGAAACAGCCCGCACATCCCAGGGGACTGGCCGTTGGTGGGGCTCAGTGACCCGAGGAGGGACCACCTGCAGAGAGAATGAGGAGGCTCAACAAAGCATGAGCTGGTGGGGAAGCAAGATCTGGGAAGAGGAGATGCCAGGTTCCAGTCCTAGCCTAGCAGGAGAGGGCTTCAGCTTCTTCCTATGGAAAATGGGGACCACGGGTGGGACTGGGGAAGACCCTTGAGCCACACACAGCTGACCTCAGACTCTGAGTCCTGTGAAGCCTGGGAGTCCCTGGTGTCCCCTCCTTACCTGCTGAGTGGCAAAAGGTGGGTAGGAGGCCCGGAGAAGTGGCTGGGCCCTGGGCCAGGGCTGCAGAAGCAAAAAAGTCTCAGATCGGGAGCCCAGAGAGGAGTTGGCAGGTGGGTAGCGGCCCACTTGCTGCACACGGAAGTGCTCAGGAGCATCCAGGAGCTCCAGGGCTGCCGGCAGGTAGACAGGGTCCAGGGAGTCCTGATCACAGCTCACTGAAGAGGAATAAGGGGTAGAGACAGTGACAGCTCCAAATCTGGCTGGGGCTGAACTGAGCTCCATCCTGGGACCCAGTGGTGGTGCGGAGTGGAGGGAGAAAAGGGCTGTTAATGTCCCATCCCCCAGGATGTGGGGGGAATCTCCCTGTTTCACAGATGAGGTAACTGAGGCTCAAAGAGCCTCACACAGGTAGCATGTAACACAGCCAGAATTCGAATCTGAGACCAGGACTGGATACCAGCCTCTGAGCCATTCCTTCTTCTGCCTTCCACAGACCTTGACCACCTTCTCTCCAGCACTGCCTTCTCAATATCTCCTTCTCCCCCATTCCTTCCCTCTCCCTACCTACCTGCCTCTGACACCAAGGCATTTCTGGGTGTTACTCTCCCCAGACAGGGCCCATATGGTAAAAGATGGTGATGAGGTGAGCTTTTAGAAGCAGAGACCTTTCTTTGCCCCTGGGTCCTTGGCCAGACTTGGCTGTGCATCCACCCTCCCACCCCACCATCATTGCCATGGCAACTCACACCATCTTTCCAAGCCTGCTCCCTTCTTCCCTGTCCAAGTTTGGTATTGGAGGGCAAGAGTGAGATGGGAGGGGGCTGCTGAAGATGTCTTGGAAGGCACTGGTGTGTCCTAGGGGTGGGGTGGGAACCATGAGCCTGAGGAGATAGTCCAAATATCCAATCTTCAGAAGGACAGAAGACCACTAAGGCCATAAGGATTTATACTATTAGCCCTAATAAAAATAATTAACATTTTTGAAAACTTAACTTTATGAAGATACTATCATAAACATCGTACATGTATTAACTCTTTCAATTTTTGTAATAACTCTGTGTGGGTCAGGTACTATTACTATTAATCGCATTTTGTTGACAGAGCAAATGAGGCGGAGAGGTTAAAGTGGTCCCCCACCTGGAGAGTAGTAGAGCTGGGAGTCAAGCCCAGGCGTTAACCACTAGACACCCTACCTCCCCATCCCCCACCTCTGTCTCCACCCTCCAGTGCCACAGTGTGCCCCTCAGGTGGTGCCTCTCTCTTCCTTCAGGGCCAAAAGTGAATGTTGCCTCCTTCTCCAGGAAGCCCTCCTTGGTTATTAGCCTCCCAGCAGTCTCCTCCGCCTTCTGCAACCCCGGCTGCCTCCTCTGAATTCGCTGTCTATCAACCAGAAGCCTTGTCTTACTCATCCTGGAATTCCCCCAAGCTGGGAAGCACTCCCTGGAGAGGGCTTTGTGGGAGCCTGGAGACCTGAATTTAAGTCCTAGCTCTGCCTTAATGACACTTGGGTCAGTCATAACATTTTGAGCCTCAGGAGCATTTAGCGACACTGTGGACAGGGGAGGGCTTTGTAAACTGTGGAGCACTGTCTGAAGGAGGGATTATCACTGCTGCATAATAGATGTGACAAGGCTTTCCTCCTCTCTCTTTGTGAGGGGTTATTAGGGCTCCCACCAGGTCCCTTGGGGTGGGGGCAGGTGGCTGAAAGCAGCTTCAGAGCCAGCTCCCACTCAGCCCCAGAGCTGGACTGGGGTGGAGGACTTGGTTTCAATATCCTCCCTGGCCGTCCCCACCAAGCCGCCTGTGTCTGAGACGATCCCCCAGCTAACAGGTGAGTGACTACCGCTCCCTTGTATCCTGGAGGTAGCCCCTGACCTCAATCCTCCTTCTCCACCGCCTCCATAATTACGAGATGCTCTGTAGCCTGACTCCCACGGACTCCCATCACCCAGAGCACAGGCTTTGGGTGGGAGGAAGGAGTGAGTGACTACCGCTCCCTTGTATCCTGGAGGTAGCCCCTGACCTCAATCCTCCTTCTCCACTGCCTCCATAATTACGAGATGCTCTGTAGCCTGACTCCCACGGACTCCCATCACCCAGAGCACAGGCTTTGGGTGGGAGGAAGGAAGATGGAGAATGCTTCATTATCTCCCATGGCATCATTCACCTGCAGCCACAGCCCAGCTCCCCATTCCGACCCTCACCCTGAGGTACAGGAGAGCTGCTGCCCATTCCCCCAGTGATAAAACCCCCACAAGGGCTCAGGGAGGCGAGGATGGGGCCATCCCTGGAGACTTCAAGGTCAGAGAGCTCCTTGGGGCAAGGGGCTGCCTATCTCACAGGTCTCAGGCAAAGGGTCTGCTTTCCATCCCGTGGGGGGTGGAGGCTAGGAGCCACGAGAGAGCAGCTCTGTACAGCGGTGGGGACGCTGGTGCGCCCGGGACAGGGGCAGCCGGGTTAGATGCCTCAACTGGAGGGGACAGTGCTCGGAGAAGGTGTGGGGACGGGGGGTGGATGACAGACAGGCTGGTCCTGGGTCAGGAAGGAGTTGCAGGCGTGCGCAGGGAGAAGCAAGCAACAGGAGAGAACGACTGGGGGCAGGTTCCCGGGGATAAGACCTCTCCAGCCCTCAGGGCACGCGGCGGGGCGACCCCGCTCCGGGTTTAGCCGGAGAACCCGAAGGGTCCCAGCTCCCGGGCATCGCTCGCGCCCGGCCTCGGCCCGGGCCCAGCCGCCCCTCCCCTCCCGCTGACCTCTCACGACGTCCAGGACGAGGGCCACCAGGACGCAGAGCCAGGCGCCGGGGGGCCCCCGGGGGGCCGCTGCAGCTCGCCCCGCCGTCCGGGCGCACATCCTTCCCAGGGAAGGCGGGGACTGAGCG